GGAAATAAGTTGCACTGGATATTTTTAATTTGTTGAGATTCTCATTTTTTTTTAAAGTCTTTTATTTAGTAAGATTTCTAGAACAGTTACTTTATATTGTGCTATTGTTATAAATTGTCTTGCAAATATTATGATATTTAAAAATATATTTTTCATGCATTCTTGAACATTCTTAGTGACCTATATGATGATATTAGACAGTGAAAATCCTACATAATTTTCTCTAAGTCCTTAGAAATTTTAAAAAACAAACATTTATCATTGGAATGTTCCTTAAGAATTGTGGTAAGGAATTTCTTCTAATCCACCATTGCCGAATCTCTAAGGATTTTTGTTCTACAGATTGATAACTCTCCATCCCTTAGGCTATGTCTACACTGGCGGCTTCTTGCGCAAGAATATCTTGCGTAAGTATACTTGTGCAAGAAAACACCACACTGGCCAGAAGCATAGCTCAAGAATGCTAAGTTCTTGTGCAAGAAAGCTTGCACACTGGCAGGACGCCCTTACACAAGAACTTGGCCCCGGAACCACTTTGGCCGTGTCAAGAGGATACCAGTGGCATCTGTGGGCGTGTGCCGGACCCCCACTGTGTAACGGGCTTAAAGGGACCCCTGCGGCTGCATGCTGAGGCACCTCACTGAGGCATCCAGAGCCACAGCTGTGGCTTCCACCTTAGCCCCTGGGGAAGTGCCCCTGGGCACTGTTGCTGCCTTGGTTCCAGCCATGGAGCCCTCCACCCAGCAATGTCCCCTCATGGCCATCACTGAGGCTGTGGAAGTCCTTCTGCAGGGACCTACACTGATCCAGCAGGAACTGGAGACTGGGCAGCACATGCTGGATCAGATGAGTGCTACAGCTGCACTTGGGCACCCGCACCCCACCACCAACAGGCGCCTGTGGAGCCACAACATGAGTGGGGACTGGTGGGAGCGCCTGGTTCTGGGACAATGGGGCAACCAGCACTGGATGCAAAACTTCAGTATGCGCAAGGGGACATTTCACGAGCTCTGTACCTGGCTCGCCCCTGCGCTCCAGAAGCAGGACACCCGCCTGCGCCCTGCCATCCCTGTGGACAAGAAGGTCACGATCACCTTCTGGAAATTGGCCACCCCGGACAGCTACCGCTCCAGTTTGGGGTGGGCAGGTAAGGCCCTCCGTGGACCGCAGGCTCGACCTGGGAGAGGGAAGGGGCCAGACAGTGGGCGGGGAGAGAGGCCGTAGGGGTGGAGGAAGCCCCACACCCTGGGGGTCATTCCTGGCTCGCCCCTGCGCTCCAGAAGCAGGACACCCGCCTGCGCCCTGCCATCCCTGTGGACAAGAAGGTCACGATCACCTTCTGGAAATTGGCCACCCCGGACAGCTACCGCTCCAGTTTGGGGTGGGCAGGTAAGGCCCTCCGTGGACCGCAGGCTCGACCTGGGAGAGGGAAGGGGCCAGACAGTGGGCGGGGAGAGAGGCCGTAGGGGTGGAGGAAGCCCCACACCCTGGGGGTCATTCTGTCCCTCCTGCACACAGCCCCGCTGGTTGGGGGAGGAATTTCCCAGGGGGGCAGAGGGCCCTGGCCTGTGTGGGGAAAGGGGCCGTCAAAGGGAAGGCAAGCACACCCCACAGGCCCATGTATTCATTACGTGCATTCCCTTTGCTCCCATGTGCCCCTCTGCAGGACGTCGCAGCCGTCAATGATGTGCAGCTCCAGAGGGTCATCCACCCCCGTGACCTGGACACCACCATCACCAGCTTCACCAGCCTGGGGTTCCTGACCTGTGGGGGAGCCATAGAAGGGACCCACATCCCCATCCGGGCGCCGGAGCACCGAGCATCCCGGTTCATCAACCAGAAGGTGGTGCTTCAGACGCTTGTGGACCACCGCGGCTGGTTCCAGGATTAATATGTGGGGTGGTCTGGCCGGGCCCATGATGCCTCAGCTTCACCAGCCTGGGGTTCCTGACCTGTGGGGGAGCCATAGAAGGGACCCACATCCCCATCCGGGCGCCGGAGCACCGAGCATCCCGGTTCATCAACCAGAAGGTGGTGCTTCAGACGCTTGTGGACCACCGCGGCTGGTTCCAGGATTAATATGTGGGGTGGTCTGGCCGGGCCCATGATGCCTGCATCTTCAGGTACTCAGGCCTGTGCCACAGGCTGGAGGCAGGCACCTACTTTCCCCAGCGGGACTTTACCATCGGGGCCGTCAGGAATCCAGTCTGCATCTTGGGGGATGCGGCCTACCCCTGATGGCCTGGCTGATGTGGCCATACACAGGCCAACTGGACTGCAGCCATGCTGCCTTTAATGCCTACCTGGACTGGGCCCGCAACCCCATGGAGTGCACCTTCGGTTGTCTGAAGGCACGCTTCAGGTGCCTCCTGACCCGCCTGGACATGGGGGTGCAGCACATACTGGAGGTCATAGCAGCGTGCTGTGTGCTGCATAACATTATTGAGGGGAAGGGGGAGGCCTTCCTCCTGGGAAGGATGGCAGGTGAGGGCCAGGCCTACCAGCAGCCCCAGATGGCTGCCACCTGGCAGACCAACCATGATGGGGTGTGGGTCCAGGAAGTCCTCCGGATGATGCTGGATCAGGCACCACAGTAAGCCGTGCCTACACCTTGGACCACAGGGCTGCCCCCATGCCCCCACTTCCCACTCCCATCACCATCCCGTCTCACCACCCTTCCCTCACCTCCCAATAAATAACATGCACTTAGTTACCATATAAATGAACTTTTATTTACAAGGGGAAGGGGGTGAACTGTGGGGATGGAGGAGGAAGGGGCTCTGACCTGGGATGGGGGAGGAAGAGGCTCTGAACTGGGAGGGCCTCATGAGTGTGAGGGGAGGCCTCTCCCACCCCCATGGGTGCAGGAGCACCTGTGCCCCTCATGCTGGGTTGGGGCAGGCTGCACCAGGAGGTGCCAAGGTCGGGGGGGATGCAAGAGGGGGCATGGGCATGGTGGCAGGGGGGCTGCAGGATGGGGCACGGGCAGGGCGGGAGGGAAGCAAGAGGAGGGCTGGGCACGGCAGAAGGGGAAGTGGGGGGAGGGGCCTGGCCACACTGTGCTGTGGCGCAGGGCCCATCCGCTCTGTGATTGTGCCCAGGAGGGCATACACGCAGTCACAGGCCCCCCCCCCCCCCCCCGCCACTCTGCCTCTGCCCATATTTTGGCGCTGAGGGAGCGCTCCACGCGCTCAATGGCGCAAACGTGGCGGCGGAGCAAGTGTTGGTGGTCCTGGGAGTGCATGGCTCCTTGGCACTGGCAGGATGGGGCTGGAAGGTTCCTTGCTGGCAGGGGGCCCACTGCAGAGGAAACAGATGAGAGCAAGATGGTCAGTGACCCCTGCCCCGTGGTGTTCCGGTCACCCTGTGCCCTCCTCGTGCCACTGCACATGCCACGTCTGGGGACAGGTAAGACCAGCGTGGGGGGATTCCCCTAGGGGCAGCAGGGTGGCCTGAGGTGGCCCAGGGACTTCTGGGGGGCCACATGTGGTGGTGGAGGGGCCTGTTGTGCCTTCCCCTGGGGCAGCTAAAGTGTCCCATGGTGGCCATGGATGCATGCTGTGTGCAACACCCTTGGGGCTGCGTGGGGTCCGCCCTGCGCCCTTGGGGCTGGGCTGCTCCTGGCTGTCCCCTTCCTCCCCTCCCCTCCCCCGGCCTGAGTGTGCATGACCCCTGGGGTCCCAGGTGTGTTCTGGGGCTGACTGCCGTGTTCATATGCCACTCGGTCTGGCTGCATGAGGTTGCACATGCTACGTGCCGCTGTGCAGCATCCAGCCATTTTGTGCTATGTGCTGCACCCTCTCCCCCACCCCATGGCCTCATTTCCCCCTGCACACTGGTGAGTGGCAGACACGATACTCACCAGATGATCCCTTGCCAGCCTCCGAGGAGGCCTGGGACACATCGTGGCTGCTGGGCTCTGGCTACCGTCCTCTTCCTCCTCCTCCTCCTCCTCCTCCTGCTCTTCCGGGTCTGTTGGGTGGACCACTGGGGTGGCCATGGCTGAGTCCACTGTGGCCTGCAGGGCCTCGGCCCCCTTGTCATCCAGGATCCTGTGCAGGCGGTGGTAGTGGGGGGCAAGCAGTGGGTCCGCCACCCCCACTCTCACTGGCCCGCAAGTAGGTGAGCCTCAGGTCTTTGACCTTGGCCTGGACCTGTTCCCGGGTCCGGGCTGGGTGGCCCTGTGCAGCCAGTGCCTTCGCCATCCGGGTGAAGATGTCGGCATTCTGCCGCCTGGACCTGGGGTTCTGGAGGGCAGCCTCCTGGCCCCAGAGGTCCAGGAGGGCCTGGATCTCAACAGTGCCCCAGCATGGAGCCTGCTGTTTGGTACCCCTGTGGGCCTACTGGTTGCTCAGGAGTGGGCTGCCTGTGGCTGAGCTGCTGCCATCGCTCCCTCTGGCAGCTCCCAGGGCTGCATGTGGCACGCAGCTTGGCTGGCTGCCTGTGCCTTTAAGGAGAGGCCAGCTGGGGGGAACCAGCGAGTGTTGATTGTGTATATGGAGTATCAGAGAAGCCACCTGTGTTGTTTTCCTGGAGGCCAGTTCTTGCGCAAGAAGCCTTTGCTGCGCGTCCACACTGCCCTCTTGTGCAAGAGTGCCTGCACAAGAGAGCTTACACCTGTTAGAAAAGAGCGTAGCTTTTGCGCAAGACGTCCTCTCTTACCACGCCATACTGTAAATTTTCTTGCGCAAGAACAGGCGGGCAGTGTGGAGGTTCTGAGGATTCTTGCGCAAGAACGGCCATACGTGGGCGGGAAGCCGCGAATGTAGACATAGCCTTAGGCTGTGTCTAGACTGCATCCCTTTTCCATAAAAGAGATGCAAATTAGACACATTGCAATTGCAAATGAAGCGGGGATCCTCTTAAAATCAGGAATAAGGGATGTTTCGGAAAAGACTTTATTTTCTGAAAGATCCCCGTCTAGACTGGCGCTTTTTTCCGGCAAAGCCCCGAGTCGGAAAAAAGCAGCAGCCATGTTTATGCAAATGAAGTGGGGGGGATTTAAATCCCCGCTTCATTTGCAATTGTGATGTGTCTATTTGCATCCCTTTTACGGAAAAGGGATGCAGTCTAGACACAGCCTTAGTGTATTAAGCATCTTTCTTTTCTTATCTTCAGTTTGTGGACTCAAGTTTGTGTGACACGCATTTTCCATAACCTCGGCAGGATTTTATATAACACGGAGGCCAAGTTCTCCCTGTTAGTTATAACCATTGAAACCTCACTGAGTCCAGACCAGATTCTACTGTTAAGTATAGTGGAGCTACTCTAAGACCCTGATTTTGGAGATGACTGTTTGAACAGACACTTGAAGTCACAGAATCAGGGCCTACTAGGAGAAATGCAGCCTTCTCTTGAAAATCTCAGGACTAAAAATATGAGAAGATAGTGATTTCACTAAGTCTGGGTTAGGTCAATGCAGCTTCAGAGTGCCTTTATTACAGAGGAACTCCATAGCTAGCACACCAGCCATAGGTCTAATTATAAAGGCCCTCAAAACCTAGGTAAAGCCATAAATAATCCTTCTATTCATTTTTGTTCTTTTAACTTTCCCCATTCCAGTGAATCCTTTAAAGAGCCATGCACCACCAGAAGATGGCACTGAGCTATGGCTTTCTACTCTGCAATTTAAGTACATATATTGATGCTAAAGGCATTTGAGATTTGAAATCTTGGTACTTTACTCAGACATTGGATTAATTCATGACATTTGGTTGTTGTTTAGTTCAGATTGCATCACTGGAAGTGGCCACTGATGAAAATGAAGAAGAGATAATTGATGAAAATGTAGTTGATTTGCACCAGTTCACGCCAGTGGGTGGAGTGTACCTTATTGATGCATTGAAGCTCCCACCTCAGGCCAAACAAATTAACGGCTGGACCATGGTGGAAGTAGGTCAAGATCTGAAGCAGAATTACATCGTGTTTTAGTTCTGATTACCCTGGGAAGAGTTGTTGCAATTCTGAAGATTTGTTAATGTAGAGTACACAATCGGCTCTATCCTTTGAGTCTTTGTGCACTGAGGTGAAAAGTTGAGTTTTCAAATTGTGGTCCTCAGTTGTACCTGCAAAACTTTATGTATCTTTGACAGTCAAATAATCGGGGGTACATAATGAAGGTAGCACAAACAGCTGAAAAGACTGTTTGAAAATGCTCTTAAAGATGTTAAAGTGAAAAGAAAGGAAATCCTTCCTGCACTTTATAACCAGAAAGATGCAACCTAAGACTATGATAAAGGATCTTTGAGTTTATTTCCAGGCTCTGTTGCAGACGTTACGGTCCTTTAGAAATATCCCTCAGTTTTCCCAGTTATAACATTTGAGATAATATTTCTCCGCATCACAGGTTTTTGTGATGCTGAACTCTTTAATAGGCATAATTCACATAAACTGCATAAATGTTCATTGAAGGACTGACAGGCATAATTCTCCATCCCTAATCCAGTGCTACCATGCCGAGCTACAGCACAGCCCCCCAGTGCAGCCAGTATTTGAGCAACATACTTATGGGCTGGAGTAATAGCTGCCACCTCTGTTTGTGGCTGAACAATGTTTGGGGCCACTGAATCCATTTAAAACCTCACTAGTCCATGTGGCGTATGTTATACAGTATATCCAGAGGCCCTTCCCCTTTTTGTGGGAGGAAGCTCCAATGCAGGTCTTGTGTTCCAGAAAGCCTTGCTCTGATTTTCACACCAGGCCAAATTCCACTCCTAGCTTTGTAAAAAGCCCTATGAGATCCTCACATGGAAGATGCAGAAGAAGCAAGCTGTTACTTGCAAAGTTTCACAGATGTGTGAATTATCAACTATTTTAAGTATTTACCTCTTTAGATTATATTTTAGTGAACTCTACAGAGGATCAAAGTGAATTACAAAATTTAGTAGCCTCTGGCTCTTTCTCATGACATTTTCTTTTTTCTTCAATTCCCCATTAAAGTTACTTGATTTAGGTTTGGAGATGTATCCCTATCCTCCAGAATCAGAAGAAACCAATGATGCTACATATCCGCGTATAGGTGTCACTCTTAGACTTCTTGACAGTGTGATATTTTTTGAGGAACCTCTGGTTGCCAGATGGGACTCTGCAGGTACTATAAATCTTTAGGCAGCTGTTATCTACAAATGTGAAATCTATAAATGTTTCTGAAGTTCAAGTTCTAGAATTCAGATCTGAATTTTAATTTTTCCAATATTCAGCAGCATTCCTGGTTCATGTTCTGATCCAGGACAATGAAGGGCTGCAATGTGGTAATTTTTTCCATACCTTCACAACTCGCTATACATCACTCAACAGTCCCAAGGGGATGCTGGCCTCAGTCCTGCAATTGACACATGACCTAAGATCAATGTGATGTATTATTCTAACACCAGTAACAGGAGCTCTAACCCTTTTCCCCCCTCTTCTCTCTCTCTCTCTCGCTATATATATATAGGCAAACAATGGAGAACTGATGGTATCAATGACATAAAGTACAAAATGAAAGAGAAACAAATCTCTTTTGATATGGATGCTTTTTATACAATCACCCTGATTCAGGATGCTCACCTGAACATGCCATACCAGTCATGGGAACTGAGACCTACTGGCACAGATGAATTACTTTTCACTGTTGTTACAGCCTTTGCAGAAGTTCAAATGCAAATTAAGGTACAGCAAACATCTTGGTATGTGAAACTCCAATACAGATGCTTATACTAATTTAGGCCATTATGAGCACTAATTTTAGAGTGCAGGCTGACCTAGAATGTAAGAAAATGGAAGATAGAGAGAGAGAGAGAGAGAGAGAGAGAGAGTGTGTGTGTGGTAACCACCTCCACCCCACTTTCAGGATAGGGAACAGAACTGGTGCCTTATAGTACATTAATTAGCCCAGAAGGGGCTAACAGAGGTCTATTTTGAAAGCTGAAGCTCCCACTATCCCATAGTTAATTCAATAGCACCTTACAAAGTAGAGCTCTTGACAAATTCTCTCTTTTCTCTGTTGTATGACTCTTAAAAGGCTAATCAGCTCAACTAACCTGGTATTTTAATGCTACATGCGCTGTAAAATATCCTCCTCTGATTTACATATACAAATCTACTTTCTGGAAACCTTCAAAATCTGAATAAAGACTCACTATACTGGCAGTGTGCTGCCACATTACTTAGCCTAACCTCTCTGGCTACGTCTAGACTGGCATGATTTGCCACAAATGCTTTTAACGGAAAAGTTTTTCCGTTGAAAGCATTTGCGGAAAAGAGCGTCTAGATTGGCACAGACGCTTTACCACAAAAGCACTTTTTGCAGAAAAGTGTCCATGCCAATCTAGACACGGTTATGCGCAAGAAAGCCCCAATCCCCATTTTCGCGATCGGGGCTTTTTTGCACAAAACTATACCAAGTTGTCTACACTGGCCCTCTTGCGCATTTGCACAAGCATTTGCACAAGAGGACTTTTGCCCGAATGGGAGCAGCATAGTATTTCTGCAAGAACACTGACAATCTTACATGAGATAGTCAGTGTTCTTGCGGAAATTCAAGCAGCCAGTGTAAACAGCTGGCAAGATTTTCCGCAAAAGCAGGAAAAACTTGCCAGTCTAGATGCAGCCTCTAGGTTGAGCATATTCTAAGCAGAGGTGGCAAACCCACCAGATTAGGCAATAGCAAACATCCCTCCTACTCACTGTGAGCATACACCCATTTGAAATTTTGGGCCTGGCTGCTGTTGGTTGGTAGTGCTTGGAGTATGGGGGTTAGCTGACTGTATATACACCGGCGGTATTTATGAAGTAGTCACTATGGGACCTAGCCTCCTGTGAGAATTTTTTTTTTAAAAGGCCTGAAGTACAAAGTACTTTTAATCAGTAATAAACTTGTTTGTATTGCTCTATACAACAGGGTAATCAGTGTATGTTGTCTTCAGTAATTGTGGATGGGGGTGAGCAGCTTTCGCACTTGACGGGAAGATGGACATCTCCAGTTAGCCTAACAGTGGCTTTGAAAAAGGCTGGAGTGAACATTTTCCCCTCAGACTATTCTCACAAGTTCGTCTGTGTGAACAAGAAGGTGAGACAGCTGTGAGCTACTCTTATAAAAAATATCCCTTTTTTTTTGGCACAAAGGTGGATCCGTACCATCCAGAATCCCTGCTTAGGTACCTGGGTATCACAGCTTGCAGTGCCACCCAAGAGAGCAGGAACCTGAATCTGACCCACTATCTGTTGATCAGAACTTGCCTTTCAGCATGATAGTTCTGGTATAAGAATGGGGTGGTTCTTTCTGGTGGATGAGTGTTTTCTTATTTATACCCTTTGTGTTACAGACTCCATTAGCAGAAATCACAGCTTATCAACAGATGGCACTGGTTGCATCTGCTTTTGCTTTCAGTTGGAGCAAGTGGAATCTGGTATCTGGTCAAGATCAAGTAGTATTTAAGGTTGGTTCTTTGAGCTAAGTCTAAAAAGAGCAATTGGGAATAATGTAACATACAATTAGATGAGCAAAATTGAATTACTGCTAACTTTTCAGAAATATGCCATTTCTCAGAGCAAGGCTCTGGTGTTGCAGTTTGAATTGTTTGAGAATTTAATCATAGCTGTTCTCTGAAGTTTGTAAAACTTCACTCTGATTCTCTGCGGCAGCGCTTTTCAATTTTATTTGGCCACGGAACCCTTTAAAAAGGATGGAAACTGGTTGACCAAAAAAAACCAGAAGCAGAAAAACTGTCAAGCAAAAAACACCAGCTTGCCTGCCCTTAAGACCAGCTCGGTGGGGGGGGGGGAGAGGAGGGGCGGAGAGAGACGATGATTGAGTTCTCACGGAACCCTTACTTTCACTTCATGGAACCCTGGGGTTCCGCAGAGCACTATTTGGGAAACACTGCTCTAAGGCCTGGCCCCTAGTGAACTCACCTATATCTTTGCTAAGTAACAGTTGTTTGGCAATTTGAGATTGCATATTTTGGGGTCTTCAGTTACTCTGCTTTAGAGGTCACCTACCATACACACCTAGCTTGATTATGAGAGAGTAGCTATAGAGCCAGAAAGACCATGTAGCTCAGGACTATGCTAAATACAAAAAGAATTTGCATTCAACTGCAGGTAGGCAGGGTCCTCCATCACTTGTTAGGTAGGTGATGGTTTTATGAGTTGGCCAGCTGTAATCTGAGCCTTCCTTTCCCTGAGGAGACCACAGTGCTCCTCTCTTGCAGACCTCAAGTGTCAGATCCCCTTCTTTGTAGAAGAGAAAGCTTGCCTCACTTATTTTGTGTTCCCCGCTACCAGAGTGCGCTTTTGGCAGGTATGTAGGGTAGATCCAGTCACAGCCAGTGGCTGCAGGAAGATTGCTATTACAGTTCATACATTGCTAGTTTCCTATTGCATATGGGGATATGGGCAATCACACACAAACATTTCTACAAGTTAATGTACACAATACCCCCCTATCAGGGTTGAGTAACTGTTTTGCACTATCCTCCATCTTACAGAATTAGTAGCTAAGTGTTATTAGTAAATTGAAAGAGGCTGTACAACATTCCCATCCTTTCCTTGCATTTGATGATGGATAAATAAATGCTTCATTCACAAGAAAGCACCACAGCCTGCATCACATTTCAAAGAACAGCTATGGTTCAAGTATTTTCTGTGTAATCATATGAATACTATAATGGTCATCTGTTCAAAATAACTATTAGAGGTAAGGTGCTAACCCTGAAATGAGTTATTTGGCTCAGTGTGTTTGGACAAATAGTTACATAGGCAAGATCCCTGTTGGCTCTCATGGGGTAGCTAGGGACCTAAGAACAAGACCCATAAGTCAAGAAGCTGAGTAGGGAACCATCTAAATTAGCCAATGTAAAATGCTGAAAATAGGGATGTGGAAGGGAGGGTGGAAGGAATGGGTCAGTCACCACTTATAATTCACAACCTGTCTCCAGGTGCCTAAACCTAGTCAGCCATCTCTCAAAGGATCATGGTGGACTGGTGACAGCCAAAAAATGGTAGGGAGAAGCATTCACCAGGATGTACAAGTCCCAATTTACAGCCCTGCTCCTCTCCCCAGAGAAAGGGAGGAGTGAAGGGAGAGAGAAGAGAACTGAAA